TGGCTGGCGAAGCAGGCGGCGGATGTAGGTGCTCCCCTAGAATGGAGCCTAACGCCTAAGGAAGCTCTTGCGAGAATTGAAAACAGAATCAAGGCTGACTGGAATGATGAATTTAACTCCTGTTCGCAGTCAAAAGGCCGTTATTTTTATCAGTTTACCAACTCTATCTTTGAACAACCATGGTATAAAAATATGAACTTTGGCCCGGGTGACACAAAACTTTTGAACAGGTTACTCGTGGGTCATGCTTATGATAAAGTATATTTGCACCGGATAGGAGCTGTTGAATCAAGCCTTTGTCTGGTATGTCATGCACCTGAAAGTGCTCAGCACTGTATATTCGAATGTATGAAATTTGATAATGTGAGATTGAAATATCCCCTCCTCTTCTCCCAACATCATGGACTGATTCCTATCCTACAATCTAAGGATCCTGTCCTCTATAACCTCCTCCTAAAATTTATTAAAGAAACAAAAATTCAACTGTGATTCCATAAATCCTTCACAATGTGATATATACTGTGATATTAATATTAAGTCTGTTTTTTTTATTTCTTTTTCTATTCCTTTTTTCTTTCTTTTTCCATTTTATAAATAAACACTGCTCTTGAATCCCACTCCACTTTTTTGTCCCATCATCCCCTCGCACCTAACACTCCTTTTAGGCACTACTGGATCTCAACATAGAACATTCGGATTGATACTCATAGCCAATTTTGGGTTAGTGCCCTATCGATTTGAACACCACTTTTATGTAATCAGCGATAAACTTTGCTCCTACAGAGAAGCTACCGCTCAACCAGGTTATCGTGAGTTAATGTTTATTTTGTATATCAACTACTTTATTTTTCGTACTAAAGTACCAAAAGTACTATCGTTTTATCTATTTTTTATTTTCCTTACGGGCGATCAAGCAATAATTTTTGGAGTCCTATTTTGGAAAGATCGAAGCAAATTGAAGTGATTGAGTAACAGCTGTGAATACAACCTGGCGCCGCTTACATTTTGAATCCAGAGGATCGCCAACCACTCCCTCTCTCTCGATGAGGGAAGCTTAGCGGAAAAGTTCAAAAAAAAAAAAAAAAAGAAAGATGCACCCGCGCCCGTGAGACACTTGTTGTTTGGTTGAAGATCCGAATCGAAATGAAACTAGGGATACGTAACTTGCCGAAACCGAAATCGTCATCGATATTTGTGTTACTAATCGAACAATCGATGTTGGTAATGGCAAAATAAAAGTATCGGAGCTCGGTGTTATACAATCGACTTACATATCCCTGAACCAGCACGAACATATTCATGGCTTAATTATAAGGTCGAACAGAAACGGCCCTAGCACATCGTTCGCGTTCCGCGTTTTTTCTTATCGCGTTAACGCGCACCAAAAGTTAAAATATATTTAAACGCACATCAAATTCAAGCGTCAAGCTCAACAATGACTTAATTTTGGATTTAATTTTGAATGGGAAATTGAGGTAAATTCAACTGTCCCAGACCTGCAAAAATTTTCTATTAATCCAAATTTATTTTGATTTATCTCTTATAATAAAAAAAGAAACAAATGCACTTTACGGACACCTCTCAGATAATTTTGAAATTTTTACCGTAGGTAGCCCTTCTGATGCTGATTACAGCAATATACATTTTTTCGGGGGGAAATCAGTACTTCTCGAGATATGGGGTTCCAAAGTTCAAAAAATACCCCACTTTTTATTAAATATATTTAAGAATACTACTCCGAAACGTTTAAATTTTTTACAGCACATAGTCCTTTTGGAGCTGATTACAACCACATAATTTTTTTTTTTTTTTTTTTTTTTTTGGGAGAACTTCGTACTTCCGGAAATATGGGGTTCAAAAATTTTAAAAAAGCTTATATGGTTATTTGTTTGATTTAAGGATTTTTTTCTTTAGGGACACTCGGATTGTTCTGGATCAGCAGAGGTATATATAATTTACCAAAATGATCTGAGAGGTGTCCATAAAGTGCATTTAAGCCAAAAAAAAAAAAAAATGTTACTAGTATTTGGGTACGGGAGCAGATACATGAGCACGAAAATGCTATATTTTAAACGTAAGTTTATTGTACAAATGGTCTACCTTATTAAATTAAACGTAGTTTAAAGGTACTTCGATTACTGATTGGCGATGACGATCGTACTGACTGACGGTGATGTGTAACAACGGTTAACATGACGCCATGGTTTGCATTGCGAATCCGAAATTACTTTCAAATAACAAACGGTCGATTGAATGAAGCGAATGAAATGAAGCTGCTAGAGGTAAACGACTGGAATACGTAAAATGCCACAAAGTCGACATTTAAAAGTTCGGTTTATATTACAGATAAAGATAAGCAACATCGACGATTGTCCCCATGCTCATTTGAACTTTCAGTTTAATCCAAACAACTTGAATTCAACATACCTAATACTGGGCGAGGTCAAATCAGATGTACTTCAGTTGGCTCTCCAATTAGTTTGCACTAGCAAATACGACTCGTATGATCAGCTGAATGTTATATATCCTAAAATCAGAAGTGGAAAAGTTACAGTGACATTTATATTGCCACGGTCAAAGGACGAGCACGACGTAAGAACTGATGAAGTTGATGATAACAGTAGCGACAGTGATGTGCCATGCACTTCAAAGGAAGCACGCGAAAAGGCTCTCAGAAGAATTCGGGAAAAAGTGACGAAATCATACGGAAGGTATATTTTCGTCGAAGCAACTCGAGATTTTTACTCCAATCCTCATTTAATCATGTACAAGGTGAATAATGGCCCACTTGAAAAATGTTCCGCCGAATTATTTCATTCGCGCTTTTTCAACTGCTCCGATATTATTTTTCCCCGATTGGCTGACTTGCAGCGAGGAAACTGTGTACAGAGTCGGTGGTTGGAACTTATAACTTTTGATTTTGTGTGTGAAAATAGCGACCTGTAAGTAGGTAGTTTGCTGCCCAGATCTAAAATTTCACTATAAATTTCCTTTTCTAGAAATGGTCCGATTATTCGTTTTTGTGAGCTTTATGCTACACGTAAAGTCACGATACAACATGAGCTAGGCCCATTGACGACCGCTGCCCTTATGGGTAGAAGTGCAACCGACAAACATAGGATAGCCGCATTCCTCTACATTCTGCAAGATATTCGATGTGTTTTTGAGTACATAACCTATTCTGCGTATACAGTTTGGTTTTTGCTCCCAACTAATTTTGGACATTTTAAGGATATTAGAGAGTTACACGATATAAAAACAATTACCGAGGATAACATCAACTTTAATTTGATGAGAACTGAACTACAACTGAAAGGCACAACTCACAAATTTCCATGGACCGATGCTGAATCATATGTTAAAGAGCTCTTTTTGGTTGCAGTTCAGCTGGCATTTGGCTTTCACTTTCGCCAGAATTTAATATTCCTACATGACTTGGAAGAGGTATAGTCATTTATATGGTTATTATTACAAGTTACATTCTGTTATTGGATTTATTGTTTGAAGATCATAGTATAGCAATCAGAAGAGGGGGAACATAATATTATTAAATAATTATTATTAATTAATTATAAATTACAGGTAGCAATACATCAGAATTTCGAGTACTTTAAGGAAGCGATTCAACGAAATAGATTGCATCGTCATCAGGTATAAATTCAATATGGCACATACTGATTTTAATTTCACCTACTTACAGATCACTGAAAAAAATTATGTAAAGAAAATCATTGATGTATGTGCAAAATGTGGCATGTCCTGCATTTTGGAATACAGAGGTGGACCAGTGCTCAACGCATCGAATGTTTTTCTTATCGAATGCAAGAAAGTTGCAGATTGTATTGCGTACACTAACATACCTTGGACAATGCAACTTAATGCATCCGAGACATCAAAAAATATACGCAGAAGGGCGGAGGAAGCGACTAAAAGAAATAAATTACTTGAAAAGTAATAGTGAAACATATAAAAGTATTCAACAAATAAATGCGTTGTTTGTTCGTTTTCCATCTCAATCTAACTTGAACAGTAATAATTTTATTGGCTTCCAGGAGTTACATTAGTTTTCAAATTTAAATATTGAATCGTATCATCAGAATCAATGTAATTTTATTGTATATTGAACTAATAAACAGAAGGCTTATAAAAAAGTATTTTCAAAAATTAGTTTTTTGTACGATTCAACTAATGTAACATTTGGGGACTCACTAATTATAGAAGAATACAATAATTACTAGACTTTGTAACGAACAGCTTAAGGACCAATAAATTATTATTGCTTCGAATTTTAAATTTGTAAATTAGAATTTGAATTATTTGTAAATTAGAATTTGAATTATTTAAAATAATATCTAATAACGAAAAAAATACACCTTTGACACTTCACAGGGGAAGAACTACTCTTATCAATACCTCGCTTGCCATAGAAAAAAATGAAAACGCTCCCAACTATATCAGCGGCAATTACAGCCTCTAAAAATAAGTATTTTTAAGGTAGATAAAAATAGCATAGAATATTAATCTATATTGTTAGGTAGTGTATTGCAAACAAGAACAACAAGAAATAATTTCTAATGATATAATATAAAAACCCGGACAGTCAAATAACTTATACAACAGTAATATCCAATAATCAAAATAAGTTTGAAATCAATTGAAAACCATGAGTAGAGTAACTTCGCGTAATGTGGCCCACCATTTTCTTTTTTGATATAAATATATTCCCGGTCAAACATTATATATATATATATATATTTGTCTATAAAAATGTTATTGCATTATATTTCAAAACTGCGAATAAAAATAATAATCAATTTCAAATCAAAACAACATAGTCTGACAAAATATGTAGATATCAGCTGACTTGGACTAAAAACAAGATGACAAATGAACTAGAAACTGTTCCGATCGTTCATTTTACTGAGTCGGCTATTCAAACGACACAACTCCAGAATATAAATCCTCGTATCGTTTGTTTTCGCTCAGATTGCTTGGTAGAAATGGGTAAAGGCTTCAACAATTACATGTGTAAAAAATTCTTTCATCCCGCGTCCAGGGACAACTTAAAGCGGGTAATAATTTTGTTTAATATACACCGTTTTACTGTTACTGAAAGTTGTTGGTTGTTTTATAGGTATGGATGGCCGAACAGCAGGCCGAGGCCTACAAGAAAAAACAAGAGGAACTTCGGAGCCAATATGAGAAGGAACAAAATTTGCATGAAAACAAGGCAATGATTAGTAAAGAGAGCAGGGACAAACTTAGTGTAAATTTTATGTACGAGCCGCCACCTGGAGTACGAAAAGAACGTGAAAAGGATGACAATGAACCAGAGTACAAATTTGAGTGGCAACGTAAGTACAATGCTCCTCGAGAATCGTATTGTAAAGGCGATACTGAAATTCGTGACCAGCCCTTCGGCATTCAGGTCCGCAATGTCAGATGTATAAAATGTCACAAGTGGGGGCACATCAACACTGATAAAGAATGTACCATGTACAGCATATCGATGAGTGAGGCCCGAAAACTGCATTCAGAGGCCGAAGCTGCGGAAATCATGACCAAATCGGTCTTAGAAGAACAAATGAAAAATGATGGATTGATGATGAAGCGATCTGCACTAGAACTACAAAGCACCAACAGCCAAACACACGCTCTCGTTCCTAGCGATCCCGAGGATGATAGCAATGTCAGTGGGGAGCGTGAAATAAATCCGGAGAAGACATTTCTGAAATCGCTTACTAAAGAACAAAAGCTCAAACTACTTAAAAAACTGGAGAAGATCGAAAAATTAAAGAAGGACAAGAAAGAGAAGAGCGGTAAAAGGAAGTCAAAGAAGGAAAAACGCAGTGAGAAGAAGAAAAAGAATAAAACAAAAAACAAGAAAAGGTCAAAATCAGACGTTTCTTCGTCTTCGGAATCATCCTCATCTTCTGATTCTGAGAAAGACGATAGCCACAAAATTTTGAAAAGTTCGGATTCGCAAGAGAGGCAGGAAAAACACGACCGACAAAGATCCAGATCTCGGCAGCGTTCTCAGCAACGCGGTGGATCAATATCTAGGTATCGTAAACAGAGACGCAGCATATCTAGATCCAGGTCTCGAGAACGTTATCGTGCACGTAGCAAATCAAGATCCCAAGAGCGTTACCGCCGACATAGACGTTAGATTTATTCTAACTTTTAATATTTTTGTAGCAGCAAGTAACGCAGTATTCAATAAAACATATGTGTGTTTTTTAAATAAAAATGAAAATAAAATAATTTTTTATTCATATTCATAATCATGATATTTCAAGCAAACGTGAAAACGAAATGGGCCATTGGTAAATTAATATGCAGGGGTATTAAATTCTTGCGGTAGTTGGGGTACTTGAACCGGCAGCAACACATAAATCGGTTACGTGATTTCCAGAATCCCGTGGAATACTCTGAAAGAAAAATTATCAATTTATCCTCCCGTCATTATGAACTACAGACCTTAACATGAATATTGCTCTTAAGTAGAGCAGCTCTTAGCACTAGCATCCGCGTGCGTCTTTGATACTCCTTTCCCATCAGAATGGCTCTCTCGAAGGTGCTGCTGCGTTGGTCGGTTTCCTTGGCATAAAGAATCTTATTGTGTGAGTCTATGCGCGCCTGTATTTGTCCTTCCAGTATCAATTGCATTACCTCGTTCTCGAGAGCTTCAACAGTGCGGTTGAAGGCTGTAGCCATTTTACGCATATCGGCTGATAGATAAGGACTGAAGTACTGAATCAAAGCACGGTTTCGAATTTTAGTATATAGGGTATTGACATGGGGTGCAATGTACATATCCAATAGAAGGTTATCCCTTATTTCGTCGAGTAGTGTTAGACATGACGCATATTTGGATTCATAAAATTTAAATACAATATCCCTTAGTTGCGGTTCCAATTCAAGGAACAACTTAAATGAGCTTGATGAAATCACATTTTTCTGCAGTTCCTGACGATCAAAAGTCGCCAATGCACAAAGACCTCCATACATGGCGACATTGTTTGGTGAAATCATTTCGGGAAAATCACAATGATCAAAGCTGGCCTGCAGAAAGAATTTAGCAGCCAATTTGTATTTTTTGGTCTGCAATTCGGCTAATCCAGCCGCACACTTTAGACGAGTCAGAACGGCCTATATAAAAATACATTCTGTAAAAATAATTACGACCCGAACGAAATAAAGCCACCAACCTGATTTGCATCCTTCGAATTTTCACTGAAATCGGGAGTACTCTCAGCTTTTGAAACGTAGCTCAGGACGTGCGACCAATTCTGCAAATACAGCGACACCTTTATCACGTTCAAACACATGTTGACCACGTCTTTGCCACTGGTGCAATAATCCCTCGCTCTCGAATAGCATTTAAGTGCGTTTGACAAATCCCCGCAACTTAGGTAATGGTCGCCGAGATCATCGTGGCCCCTTCGTATACTCTCTTTAATTGAGCTAGATTTAAAGTTTTTAAGGTCCGAATCTAACTTCTCCAATTTAAGGGCCGCTTTCTTACTCTTCGCTTCTACCCAACTTTGATCAAAAACTGGCAAATCACCCTGACCAGACAAAGCCGGTTGAGCCGCTATATCAGGAAGAGCACCGCCAGAAACGTTCGCTCCCCCACCACCAGTTCCGTTACTATTCACATATATGTCGTTAAGTTTTTTATGTAAAACTTGATACATTGTTACGTTGTAGGTGGTCATTACATAGTTGATGGCCATCTTCAAAGCTTCCAGCCGCAGGGATGGACAAACGTCGGCCACGAAAATCAAACGATATAGTCGAGCCAAGCCCACGTACGAATTTGCATAAACCTCCAAGTCCAAAGTTGGATTCTCCACAATTAGGTGGTGTTCCTCGTTATTGTCGTTATCCTCCATTGGAGCATCGACTTGCATGGGTTCGATAGCATTCTAAGCGAAAAAAGTGCCGCAGATAGAACAAAGAAGAAAAATCGTAGGACAGATATTTCTTTAAACCGCATGCATTTGTTTCTTACCTGTGCCAAAGGAGGCAGTGGCATTTGTGGCATGTCTACAACAATGCGTATATTCAGTAAAGAACCAATTACTTTTTGCACGAAATCACACCAAAGTTTTTTCTTTCAATAATCTCGTCCAAGGTAGATATACAAGAACCAATCGGTTGTTGTATTTTGATATGTCATCAATATTTTGCAAATAAAAAAAGATTGTCAACATTTTTAAACACAAATTCTTGTATAAAATGTTAATAAAAGTATTGCCAAAAAAGCTCTTCGAAATAATTTTGTTTTTTAATTTTTTGGTTCAACATTACAACAACATTTTTGACATTTATTTGTCCAACAGCTGGGCCGATGCGGCTACCTTATTAAATATACCTTGATCTCGTCCGTCCATCAATCGGAGTTCTAAATGATGCCCGTACAGCTGCTATTGCCACTGGTTTGGTGATGCCAGACTTTTAGAGCCGCATATTTTTGACTTGCAAATGAAAAAATATATAACTGGCACCATCGCAAAAAGTAGCAGAAAAACACAGCTAATGCCCCAGCTTTTAAAAAATCAAGTTTTTCAATTTTATTTTGTGGATTCCAAAATATTTCGTTCTTAAAATAAATATATTATTTTTTATAATGTACCTACGAAAGGTAGGTACATGGTTCAATAATTACGTGATCCGATAAGGGCAGATAATTTGGCTTAACGTATGAAAACATACGTAAACAAAAAGTTTGAAAGTTTTGGGGGATTTTCAACAAAAAGTACCTATAATATTCGCTTCATACACGATCTTGAGTAGGTAGATGTATCAGCAATATCCATTATGTGGCTTGAAGAAAATATTGAAGCAGGTTTCTCTTATATATAGAGCATTTGTAACGAACGGGTTTACGGTTATTAGGAGCAAGGCCTATATAAGGTCGGCCAGTAAGCGAATTCATAGAGAAAACTTAAGTTTAAGTTCAATTCATTATGTGGCTTGAAGAAAATATTGAAGCAGGTTTCTCTTATATATAGAGTATTTGTAACGAACGGGTTTACGGTTATCAGGAGCAAGGCCTATATAAGGTCGGCCAGTAAGCGAATTCATAGAGAAAACTTAAGTTTAACGTCATTTTTTTTTGCCAAAGCGAAAACTAATTGTTTCGCCTTTAAATAAAAAACACAGCCAAAACACAACACAATGTATAATTTTTAGGATAATTTATTTGAAAATCTTCGTTAAACTCTTAAAATATTCCAAATGTGCTTCACAAAGACGATATAAATTGAAATTTAATTGAATGTTGACAAAATATTAATATTTTCGTTTTGACGTCTAACATAATTTTGTATGTATGTATATGTTTCAAAATGTGATTTGACAGCAAACTTTACCTGTGCTTACTCGCCGACCTTATATAGGCCTGACCTTATATAGGCCTCGGTATCGGTGTTGAGAGTTTCTCTCTCTTGAGAGTAATTATTGATTTTTAATTTTGTAACAAGCGTACTTTTTGTTCACAAAAGATACTTTACATAAACGTATTTGATTTTTTTATTATTCATACATTTACGCTTAAATTATAACATATGTTATTTATGCAAATAACTGGTATTAATATTGGCCAATATTTCTCGATAATTATGATTTATTATCATTTGAAGTAGAATTTTAGGTACCTTTTCGATTTTTTTTCCTACCTGTGGTAAGGTTTTCCAAAACAATTCGCAATTTACCACTGTGAGAGAGAGAAACTCTCAACACCGATCCCGACAAATATAAAACCACGCTTGGTAGTGCGGCCTCTCATGTTTGTCATACATCAAGCAACCACAAATCATTTGAAATTCGTAAGTTATCAATGATAAGTGAATGTCCCACAGAGAAGCACTGTTTTGGTTTTCTTTTCTCTCATCCACTTCATTCGCCTATAATTTTATTTAGAGTGCCGCTGTTTTGGAGTCCAAGAGAAGAAGCATTTGAATTTATATATATTCATATAAACTTCAATAATTTTTTTTCTGAAAACGAAAAGTAACTGCAATAACAGATAAAACTACGACCTAAATAGATTGTATTAGTCAACGCAATAACATTAACCTGGCAGATTCGAACGTGCAACTTAATTTGAGCTTGCGGTGACATAAACATTCTGCCACGTGCTGAGGATGGGAGGAAGCGATCAACAGGCTAAAGACCAAGAGATGACGAAAAATGCTCAGGAGGATTGTGAAAAACCTGAAGATGTCGGCAATATATCAGACGAAGGCAATGGAATTGTTAGTGAAGCATTACCTTCAGAGTTCGGCTATCTCCAGCGCAATGAGTTCACATCCGAAATATATAAAATTGAAGTTCGAAATCTGGGCTACTTCGGAATAGGGGTATGACAAAGTTGGCAATTACTCGTTCGATAGTCTAATTGAATATTATTTTTTATTTTAGGAATTTAAAAAACTATTGAAAAATAAGCTCAAGCTGGACATGAGCAAGATTAAATCGCCTCTGCGCAAAGATTTTGCATTTGTTTGCTTTAGGAGCCAGGAGGATCAAGAAAAAGCATTGTCGCTGTTAAATGGATACAAATGGAAGGGGAAAGTTTTACAAGCACAGGTATGTATATTGAAATTTACTTGAATGTATTTCAGAACAGGAATTGCGAAGGAAGTGAATTCAAAATTAAATTTTTTTGCATGCTCAAATATTTTTGAAAACATGTTCTTGAATGTATAATTATATTGAACATTTACTTGTATAGAATATTGATTTAAAATATTTTCGCTATACCTAGATTGCAAAGGCCTCAGCTGACCCATTGCAACGCAAAAGGAAAGAAGCCGGATCCAACGACGATGTTGATTCTAAAAAGCGACAAAGATCTTCAGCGGATGCAACATGTCCATTGTCGGGTATGCCATACGAGGACCAATTAAAACAGAAGGACTCCAATATGAAGGAGTTAATAAAAACATTTGTAGATGAATTAAAGAAAACCAACAAAGATTCGAACAATCATTTGGCAAAGTTCCAATATGAAGGGGTGCTTCCGTCGCCAGAAATTGACGGCTACCGAAACAAAAATGAATTTACTATAGGTAAAAATAGCCAAGGTGAGATTGTGGTTGGATTTCGTTTAGGTAGTTACGCTGATGGTTCAGTGGAAGTTGCCGAAGTGGAGTCTCTGCCACACATTCCCGATTCCGCGAAGTGGGGAGCAAAATCCTTCCAACATTTCGTCAGAAAATCTAGATTTCAACCGTTCAATCCCGAGGCAAACTCTGGTCATTTTAAACAGTTGATGGTTCGGACGTCTTCGTCGAACGCTAATGAAATTATGTTGGTTGCGGGTATTTACTCTTCTAACTTATGTGAAAGTGATTTGATGGAACTGAAACAGGATTTAAAAGAATATTATGCCAACCTCCAGGAAAGCGGCTTTAAATGTACCTCTTTGTACTACCAAGATGTAAAACACCGGGAAGCTGGTCAAATGGTTTCGCCTGTGGAACATCTTTGCGGCTCAACACATATCTTCGATACAATTCATGGTCTCAACTTTAGAATCAGTCCGTTGGCATTTTTTCAAATTAACACTGCTGGCGCCAATGTACTGTATCAGAAGGCCATTGATTTGGCTGCTCCTAAAGCTCATTCCACGGTTTTAGACATTTGTTGCGGAACTGGGACAATTGCACTCGCATTTGCTAAGCATTGCAAACAAGTTTTGGGTGTTGAAATAATCCCGGACGCCATAAAAGACGCAGAATTCAATGCAGAAAACAATAAAATAAATAATTGTAAATTTTACGCTGGAAATGCGGATGACTATATACAATCCATGGTACGTGAAGTTACCTACGGCACACCTCCCGGATCACCATTAGATCTTATTGCCGTTGTTGATCCACCTAGAGCAGGATTGCGTAAGAAATAACGTCATTCATTATAATTCATCGTCGATTACAATGCATTTTTATCCTTTCATAGATAACCGCTCAATTTCGGCAATTCGAGCGGCTGCTGCAATTAAACGGTTAGTGTACATATCCTGCAATCCTCAACGAGCTCAACGAAACTGGATTGAGCTGGGACGACCACAATCTAAACAATATAAAGGGGATCCGTTTTATCCAGTGACAGCGGTTGCGGTTGATATGTTTCCACACACAAGCCACACAGAAATGGTTATCCTGTTTGAAAGAACAGGCAATGACGAAAATCAAACATCATGTGCCGAACACCATTCAAAGCATTTAGGAGACGGGACAGATAACCAGACATCATAATCCGTATCTAACAATAAAACTATATTTAAGAATTGTCTTACGAAACAACTTGGTCGTTCTTCAGCTACATTTGAGTATGAGTATAAAAACAAACATTATTCGAGTGGTAACGTCAATAAAGTCTTTCGGCTTCGCTCGCAAACTAGGTATGTCCCAACGATATTTCCTAACGCTATTTCTCGAAGATTGTTCTCCATTTTTAAATTAAAGAGCTTTTCAGTACGGTGATGTGGCTGTTTGGAAAAGATAATTGAATTAACTACACACCAGATTCGCTTTTATTGATTTTAATTGAAGGTAAATAATATACTATAGAAATAATCCCGTGTGGCACTGAGATAAATTAAACGAATTTACGACTGAATATTTTGCTGCAAAATCTTAAATGTAAGCTATAGTTTCCTTACAGATATCTGAATATATAAAAATGTAGGTAGACATTGCTATTTTTTTCAATGGTACAATCATGGATAGAAACTATTGCAATATTAATTTTATATTCATCTAAATCAGTGTTAAAAATATACATATCTGTTAAAATATCGTTTGTACTTTAATATAAAAGGTCCTTAATACGGAAAATAGGAACGACATCAATGAATGTGAGACGCTATCACGCATAATCAGGACGTCAACATGGACTTTGGCCACGAAATAAATATCCATGAGGAAAACATGTGTATATATGTACCACCATTGACATTCATTTTATTTTTGTTTACAAATAAAATATTAACTGTTTGGTTTTTTCTATTCAGAATTATATACATACATATGGATTTTAAGTATGCCAGTAAATCACTTGTATATTTTACTGAATTTGTTTCAACAAGAAAACCTGTACCTGACAACACAACAAATATCAAAATTAGAAAACCTTGAGAACAAAAGCTCTAACATTTAGCGCTAAACACACCCCCCGACATCGGATGTATGTGTATTCTCGCATAATAATTTTAATATATTAGCTAGAAGTCTTTGACGTTGTTTGTGTTTTGTTTACAGTCTTAAAATAAAACTTGGGCAAAGCACAAGTTGCGAGTAATGACTTGGAATAGTGTCTGAGAAAAACAAAAGCAAACAAAAAAGCTTCAACGAAACGTAAACATGTTTACGGATATTGATTCTTCTCGTTCTACAACTCATTAACAGCCAGTCACGTTCACGTGCTGCTCAGATGTTTTGACAGATGCGGGCGGTACATGGACGCATTCACCCCCATTGTTTCAGACAATGCACATTGGCAGGTATCATTTCTCTTCACACATGGGGATGTGTATCTGAGAGCGGCAAAGCAAAAACTATTACTACGAAGAGTTCAGGCCCATAAACAATGTGGCAGTGGCACGCTATAGACGACAACTGTTCGACTATTATCATCACACACAACGAAAATAGTTTATCGTTTGATATTCTTTATAAATTATATTATATTTTTTGATGCAATAACAACGAATGTGCTGTACCGGACGGACGACAAAAAGCTCGAAGAAAGCTACCGTTTGCTGTTTTGCTTGGGTTATAAAGGCCAAACAAACGTCCATATATCGTTATTCAACTGAGTAAGCTAAAGAAAAATAACCACGGTGACAAAGTCAAGTAAAGGCAATCATAATCTACAAAGAACAAGGAAGAACGATTTAAAGAAAGAAAAACAAAAAAAAAAAAAAAATAGTTTTTGTTCGAGTTTGTCATACATCTGTAAAACTACTAAACAACGAACACTTCGAAATTGTACAGTTACAATGTCGCACCTTTAACAAATTATCAACCAATTCGAGGGAAATCATATCAACATGAGTGTGTGCTAAGTGTGACAAAACACCGAAAGTAATTAGAAACCCGGAAGCCAACTGAATCTGTGGACAGATTCCGAGAGCATAATATGTCTGTTCCGGCCGTTTTGCTTGCGGATAATCTCCTAACGGTGGAAGATTGCAATCAAACTGTAAATACATTCACTAGAATTTGTCTTCATACATCATCCAATGGTGAATTCATCTGAAATTCATTCTGGACCACTGCAATCAAAGAGTAAATATTCTATCATCTATGTCATACACCATTCAGAGCAATGGTGGGTTCATATACATTTCATTTTTGCACTTATTCCGACTGACGACAAAGGTCATTGACGTGTAGGCTCTGTGTGATTGTTGTCAGCAGATTTGTATTGTTCTTTGTTTTCTTATTATTTCGCACATAGTTCGCAGACAGACATTGGATGAAATTAAAATTCTTTATAAGATTCGGGGAAAGGTTGGGTAAAACATGCGCGAGTTGTTGTTATGGACAGCCTTCCCATGATTCATGATTGTTATTGCTTAGCTGTATAGTTTAAACGTTTGTTAAAATCTCGGCTCTACTGAGATTTAGATAATTCGTCTCCACATTAACATTCCACGAATGACTTCTGGTTTGGAACTAAATACCAGAATTCCTTGAATATAAATGTTATTGGCATTACTCAATTCGTTATGGTACCCACATTTGGACATGAAAATTCTCACGGATTAAATACTAGTTTCAAATCAAGGCTTTGCCGAGTTCAATATTTGATGGACTTAGCTTTTGTTAATTAGGACATGTAGACATATAGGAGGGTTTGTCTTTTATGTAATTGATATCTGCTTGTGCTTCTTTTTACCATGCCATACTAATGTTCACACATTTACGCTTCAAACATTTTCGTTGGTTGGGCCTACAAATTTGAACGGCCATAAACAAATGTTCTCTTGGCCAGGCGCCAACGTACTCAAAATTTATATGATGTTTATATCTCTTATTTGCGCAAGAAGGCTAACATTTGCACCAAAGTAGAAAGTCTTTTAGTATGTGGGTGACTTAAGATACGTTTACTACGGTGTTGAGTGAATAAATATTCTTTCATAGCCGGTTATGGTCGTTTTCTGCGCTCAAAGCTACCAGTTTTTATTAAAAATCTCAAGACAATGTAAGATTTACGCAACTTGTTTACAATTTCCAAAGGTGTTGTTCCTACTGACGTCGCCAAACCTCATATGTAGTCGAAACCAAAATCTTAACTCATTTTCTTGGCGTTCCCAACAACAACACTTCGGCATCTTCCAGGTAAATGAAGCAAACATGCCTCAGAGTGCAAATCCAGTGGATAAGTCTCCTGCTTGATCCAGCAGTAGACATATTCTCTGAATACTGTTTTCTAAATCAAATTGGTAAAGTACGTTGTTTGTTTTACTTACTATTCGCAAGCTAAGCTTGAATATCACTGTTTGATGTGGGACAAATATTTTGTTTTATGGATCTTATAAAGTGATTCGATGTAGATCAGAACCGGATTGCGACAGAAACAAGTGCAGAACTAATCAAATCAGAGCTATAAAAGCTAAACTCTGCAAATGTATTTTTATTGTCTTTTTACGGGGTTCATAAAGCTGTGAAACCCGCGGCCCCTCGCTTTCCTTATTCTATTCTGTCACATTTAGCGACTTATCAGCATGTAGATTGTAGATGTAAGGTCTCGACAGTTGACTTTGCTAGGCATTTGAGACAAACACATCAGTACACGAGTTCTGTCAATCATGTGTATACGTATTTAATCGGAAACCGCTCATTGTTCGCTTCGCATAATTTTACTTTCATTCGATTAGCATGACAATGGGGCAATACTTTTGTCTAATATTATTGGTCATTCTTTCTCAACAGAGTGACACGTTCGGAGATGCAGCTGCCGTCACAACACATAGCAGGGCCGATGCAAACCCCAACCCCGATATTTTAGGGAAAGATGAAGTTGTTACGCCGAGCTGCGTACCAATGCTCCGGTCATTCAGTGTTCTGGTAAAAGATGAACTCGAATCCAATGAATATATGGGCTTGACAGGAGATCACAAGGCTTTAGGTGAATGGCGATTGGAGGACGCCGTTACTCTGGAGCGAAGAAATGATACCATGGAATGGACAGCTAAAGTCCTGCTGCAGGCATGTCGAAACATCCATTATCGTTATTTCACTTACGTCAAGGATCAGAAAGGTCAGAGGCACATACGGCTCTGGGAGAGCCACATGAAACCACGTTCCGTTGGCAGCTGTGCCAATCACTGTCCACAAATCGATGTGTTTGGGCAGAACGAAAGCGGCGATGTGCAATTAAATAGAGGATGGATAACAAATGAAATCATTCATCAGTTCAAATTCGAAAGAGAACACATGTTTCAGGTCCACGACATTGAAAAGTTTGACCCAGAAAATGTGTTGATCAAGTTGGTTCCATTGGAAACGGATCTGCATACAGTATTGGATGTCTCAGCGGTTGGTGTAAACGTTGAAGTGGTCAAAATGAACAACGGCGAGAGTCTCCTGCAGAAACAAAACTCACAGGGAGTGACGCACAAACGCAATGAGGTTGTAATATTCCACGTGACAGTTCCTACGACAATTAATCCGGCGTACGCTTTGTTATTTCATACTGCAGATGGAAGGCTAATGGGTAGAACGGTTATAGACGCATCCCAGCTGGAGGGTAGTGAGGGAGAAATTGAACTAAAAATTATCACAGAGGGGGAGAAAAGTGGAAGCGAATCGGCGGTCATAGCGCGGTTGAAACTGCCATTTTTGGTTGTAAGGCCTTTCAGCAATGTCGGAATTTTAGATTTTCGCACAACGTATGCCCATTACTGGCCAAAAAGCTGGCCAATCTTAGATGTTGGTCACAGGGGAAATGGAAAAAGTTATATCGTCAATCCTCCAGAGGAACGAGAGAATACGGTGGCATCATTTCTGAAGGCCTACGAAGTTTTTGCCGATATGGTCGAATTAGATGTTCATTTGACTTCGGATGGGGTACCTGTCATATACCATGATTTTGGGCTACGAACTGCTCCTCAAGGAAAACTGGTCACCGATGTTTCCCAACTGGAGTATGTCCTAATAAAAGATGTCACCTATGCTGAGCTATGTGCATTGCGAGTCTTCGCAATCATCAACAATGAAATTAATGAATACCCCTCGCACAATTCGGAGCCAGTAGCTGAGCGACGTATATTCCCACGCTTGGTCGATGTTCTGCAAGCATTGCCCAAAACATTGGGCATTGATGTCGAAATAAAGTGGCCGCAGCGAAAGAAGTGTGGCGGTGTTGAGGCAGAGCAGACACTTGATAAAAACTTTTTTGTAGATCGGGTCGTGGAGACGATTATACACAATGGATGCGGCAGGCCACTAATATTCTCCAGCTTCGATGCTGACATATGTACCATGCTGCGCTTCAAGCAGAATATATTCCCTGTGATGTTCCTTTCGATGGGCGAAACCAAGAAGTGGGAACCTTTCCTCGACCTCCGTACAAGAACTTTCCAACATGCTCTGAACAATGCTCAGGCATTCGAGTTGGCAGGCACAGCTCCCCATGCCGAAGACTTTATTGACAATGAGAATGCCGCTGCAATGATGTCTAAGGCTCGATCATTGGGCCAAATTGCGCTGGTATGGGGTGATGACTGCAATTCCAAAGAGGCCGTCAAATATTTCCAGAAAATAGGCGCTACCGCTACCTGTTACGACCGCAGCGATCTCTACATGCCGGAACATAAAAATCGATCTTTCTTTAATTCCACCCTATCCCTTGACGAATTCCAAGGGCAGTGCCGTCAGTAGAAATAAGAAAGTAATGTAAATATATATGTATGTTTTGTAGGAAGAGTTATGCGCAAAATATGTAAGTACTGTTAATAAATAATACATATGCCGGCAGTCGTTGTTCACCGCTCGCTATTTTTGTTATTGTTTTCTCAAGTAGTAATAAAACCCCATTTAAAAAACAATTTTATAGCATTTCTGCTTAATCCATACGAGGTGTATATTTTGGGAGAGTACCGATGATCAAGTCGATGTGCTAGAACTGATTTAAGGGAACACCACTCCCTTATTCTCGATTTGAAATGTTGGTGATTTTCAAACGACTGACAAATGAACTGAAGACTTTTTTCTGTGCATATATGAACATATGTGCGTATTTAAAAACTTAAATGATAAGAAAATTAATTAACATACTATTTTTGTCGTTTTGTAGTTAAAGAAAAGTTCTTTTCGATGGGGGCATGATTTAATACCACTGGAACGTCTACAAATCAAGTTAGAAAATAGGGAAGATCTTGACTTTGTCCGCCATTCACGTGGATTTTATAGGGAAATTCAATTTTTGTTTCGAACATTTTTACTACAGCTCGTTTGAGTCATATATGATTTGTCGGTATATTGATAACTTGTTTCTTTCATTCACCGCCGGCGGTCCAAATGATGCCATTGGTGTGCCGTGTGTTTGTGTGTGCTATTTGATGTGCGGATCATTAAAATTCCTAAAACCATTTGAATATAATACGAGAACAACAATCATATTGTTGGTCTGTGCTTACAACAACATTCCTAAAACAAACGCTCAGAACGACTCGGGTTCTTTCTAACTAACCAAGTGGACCTGAGATATGCTAACGGAGTTTGCATTTCTCAGTTGCGATTCGATGGTTGAGCAGTGCAAATACCAAAACAGAGAAATCTGACGCAAATTAATTTCGAAAAGCGGAATTATTTTCGTAATCAAATACACAGTGTGTACAATTCAATCATTGGTGTATGGAGAAGCCGTTTATGAAGCCTACAATAGAACTAACAGTAATCTACTAGGTGAGGTATTGAAAAAGTTATTGCCGAACATCAAAAGGGCTCTACAAAAAAAGTTCATTGTAATTAATAACCACACCAGATATTATAAACAGCCAACCAATTGCTGCTTTGGCATAGTGGGGATATTCGGATCTATATTCAAGTTGAAAGTTTTACACAGACTCACCACACAGCGGCAGCAGATGATAACCACACACAGATGGAGCCACTTGGTGTGGTTAGTGTGCGCGATAAACGTTTCCGGCAGTCTGGCGTTGACAACAACCAATACCCACGAGCTTCTGACTAACAATAGAACTAAAAGGTAAGATATATCCGAAAAGTCTTTTATGTTAGTTTTCAAATCAGAACCAAGCGTTAATCTGCTTGGGAATACCAGAGGTTAATGAAGATATAGGCAACGAAAGGCTCTTACCGCGTGGCGCTCGGGGTTTGAATGACAACTACGCAACTCGCTATAAAGTATTTATTGGCCAAAAAAGTGCGTGTTGATTTATTAATACATACATATGTAATGTATGTATGTGTAACGTCCACAATGATATTGCGAAATACATCATTATGTAAATTGAATCAACACAATCTGAAATAGGCTATTGTGTAGCAGATCATTTAAAAGTTCAAAATAGGATCCAAGGGCGCAACACAATTTCTTAAAAAAATAGAAAAAATATAACATAATAATAAATAAAAAAACAGTTATGCAAAATTATTTGATGAGTCGGATTTTTTAATTTTCGGGGAAAAGCTTTGCCTCAACGTAAAATAATTCCAGCTCTAGCAAAAGCGAATTGCAGTCATCGCTCTTTCCTTCAGTAAGCACTAGTTACTCGGAGAAAGATTCACTATTTAGTAACCAACTGGCTAACTGTGGTTACAGGTTATGCCGATTTTTTATTGAAATACTTTTGGATATCTCCGAAAATTATTTTTTTCTTTTAGAAGTTTTAAATGTATACCAATGATTAAACACTTTGAAGTTGAGCTGCACGAGGCTTTGAGACCCGGAGAAGGACTTGGCATAACTGGGGATCATGTAAAACTGGGCCACTGGAACGTTGACAGGAGTCTGGAAATGAAACAGCGAAGACGTAACCCCCTTCGGTGGTTCCTGAAAATACCAATGTGCTCGGCACTGCGAATCTATTATCGGTTTTTCATCTACTACAAGGATTCAAGGGGACTAAAGAGGATACGACGGTGGGAAGGACAACAGCATGCTCGTGTACTTGAAGCCTACGAAATGTACCGTAACCAGGGCTCATTGAAGTTCGGCGAAGCTCATCCCACGGCGATTGGGGGAGGTGTGCAAAACGAGAAAGGATGGTTGCGTGGAGAACTGATAGTACAAATAAAATTTATTTGGCCGCAACACATTCGCTTCACATCGTTTTCACACTTCATACGAAATCTGAAATACAACATAAAGCTGGAAAGTTTCCCTTTGGATGAGTCCCGGTCGGAGTTAAATAGCGATGTCGAAATTGAAGTAGCCCGCTTCGTCTTTAAAAAATCGAATTTACGAGCTCAAAGTGGATTGGGTGAATTCTATAAGCCTGGTCAGACAATGATCTACCACATAACAGTTCCACTGGGCTTTGAAAACTACTACGTTCTCAACATCAAATCCAGGGAGGGAGAACATTTGGGCGAAGTTACTATCCTCGGGTCCTACTTTCAATCTGGCGAAGGCATCTTGGAGTTGCCCATTATCGAGAAGTGGCAAAAACAGAGAATTGGCTGGCTGACATTGCCCTATGTTCGGATAGAGCCTCTGCCAATTGCTGCAGAATTAAATTTCAGGTCGAGTTTTCATCATTATTGGCCACCGAACTGGCCCACCCTCGACGTGGCCCACAGGGGGGTAGGTAAAAGCTTTTATTACCACTCGGCAAGGGCTTTAGAAAATACGATTCAAAGTTTCCTCAGGGCCTACAGACTACACAGTGACATGGTGGAACTGGATATTCAGCTGACTAAGGATTACGTCCCCATAGTTTACAGCGATTGTGGCTTTTACACGGCGAATCAGAGGAACAAGGCATCCAATTTCGACATGCATTTTGTCTACATCAATCGGATGACCTATGAAGAATTGCGGCAGCGCCGAGTATTTGTATTCTTAAATGGAGCCATGGTTGAGCTGTCGCACTTGAATTCGGATTTTGTGGATGAACGGGAAATGCTATTTCCTCGTTTGGTGGATGTCTTCAAATACCTACCCTTATCGGTGGGCCTCATAATGGAGGTGAAATGGCCCCAATTGTTAAGCAGTGGGTCCTTGGAGTATCTACAGTCCTTAGATAAGAACAAATATGTCGACACCATTCTGATGGCCAGCATGCAGAATAGTTGTGGTCGTCCACTGATTTTCACTAGTTTCGATGCCGACATATGTAGCATGATACGCTTCAAACAGCACGTCTTTCCCGTTGTCCTATTGACGGTTGGTCAGAGGAGCCCTTGGGAACCGTATGCTGACCTACGTACCAGATCTCTGACAAGTGCAATCAACTTCGTCCAATCCTCGGAGATACTGGGAGTGTCCATACATGCGGGTGACTTGATTCAATCTGTCCCAGAGCAGGAGTTGAAAGCACTGTTCCAATTACAACAGGTACTCTTTGTATGGGGAGACCAATTGAACACTTCGGCAGCACTAGTCAATTTGAGGCATCTGGAAGTGGCCGGACTGGTCTATGATCGCCTAGACGATTTGGTGGAGAAAAGAAAGCGCTTCTCATTCTTCCAAGCACCTGAAATGCAGCAAATTTTCTTACGGCAATGTATCGTTGCCGGCAATGTCAGTGTAAGTGAAGGCGCGCCGGACACACATTCCCCATTTTGGCCTCGAGTGCGCACTGCAGACGAGCTGTAGTCACCGATATACCTGAAAACCTCAATAAACCGAGTCTTTGACTCAAGTCGTCTGAATTAAAGGTCTACTTTTTTTCTTTCAAACGATCGGCAAATGTTCTAGAATAGGCAATGCCTATTTCAGGTAAGACTCGGTTGACTTCGAACTTTTAAAATTCAGCTGTGACAGTTATAGACTGTCGGATGTGTTTCTGATAACGACAAGGGACATTTTAAGGTGTAGGGCTTGCATTGGAACTAATCGACAATCCACTGAAAAAAGAAAATCCACGGACGAGCCTTGTTATATCTTCAAAGTAAATGTATTTACTTTGACAGAATATTAAATGTGTCGGATGTGTTTCTGATAACGACAAGGGACATCTTAAGGTGTAGGGCTTGCATTGGAACTAATCGACAATCCACTGAAAAAAGAAAATCCACGGACGAGCCTTGTTACATTTTCAAAGTAAATTTATTTATTGACAGAATATTAAACTTTTTAATATGTAACATAGCTTAGGGTATGTAAAAAGTTCCGGTATGGTATATACATATGTATTCCTGTAATGTGTGCCAACACTCTGCCAATGCGTGGAAGAACTATCCAATTTACATGCATTCAGCGTTGAAGGCATCAATGTAGTCGCCCGAAACACAGACGTTTCCGTTGACATATGCCATGGATTGGCATATTCCCGGTATTTTGCTGCTGATCTCGATTGAACAACGTCGTATGGAGGGCACAGTGCCGTGCGCATGAATTTGTCTATGGGCGTGGTTGTGCTTCGGGTGTTTTTGTTTGGGCTCATGCTGGGCCATGTGCACCTCTATCCAGCTCGGCTTGACGCCCTTTGCGCTTGGTTCATCCTCGGAATACTCCTTCTCCTCGGCAGAAGAACCCCTGTGAACGAATCCATATTCATCTTCGACGGTCGGCGGTACCTCGACCACTCCATCTGAGTGTGATGGGAATAGAAGGTGTCGTGAATAATCTGACGGTTTCACAGTTTCGTGCACCAAATCCAGCGGCATTTCCAGAGCATTCAAGTGACTAAATGAACTGATTAAGTGTAGCAATAGAGCCCCGAATGAGTACATTTTTCTCGGCATTGTAATTGTAAGCAACGCCAAACAGCTAATTTCGATATGGCAACTGCAGATTTCCGTTCGGTAATATTTCGCTGTAGGTGCTGCTATCGCGGTCTAAGGATGACTGACATTCCCTTGAGATCCCCAAATGTTTTTTATAGTAAATTTTGTAAGTGCGACCGCTGTTCACATTATTTGTTGGGGAATATACCAATGGTGTACGGATATTAGGGCGTACCGCACTTTGATTCAATGGAATCAACAGTTTATGTCCTAAACTAAAGAATAGAAATACGACTGCTGCGACGTTAACGGTGAGATGTGTTTTCACTTCACATTCGATTGCGAAATTCCCCGGCGATTTTGACATAAGGACAATTAATATCGCCTCTACTCATGTAGAAAAATGTTAAATTCTGCCTAAACTAAAGCGATATAGCCTCATAAACGATGTACAAAGGGATGTGGCTACAGTTATACGAATAGCATTGAAAAGAAGCTGTACAAATGACTCCATATGTGATTGGTGATTGGGATAAACTCAAAACGCATCACATGCAGAAAGGACATTGAGGACATTAGCTGCGTATGGTACACTTAAATGTTCAATGACATAGTCATTCCGTTTAATTGTTGTTTTCCATTATGAATTTTTTAAATCCCAAACTAAATTTCAGCCCCGGATAGAAGCCAAAAAAAAAAATAAACATAGTTAGCTTGGACAAAGGCATCGATAAAATTTTCAATTTGTTTAAAAATCGCCCTAAATACACAACTGTTTATTATTTATGAAAATAAAATCAGTGCTGTGTTTAAATTTTGATATTTGGACCATGGTTTACAGCAAGAGAATACTAAGGCATGAATTCGCTTGTCGGTTAACCTTATGAATAAACCTTGTGTGGTACGAACCAAGGCCTAAGGTCGGCAAGTAAGCGAATTCATAGAGAAAGCAGCGGCTTCTATTAAGTTTAAGATCATTTTTTGCGCGGCGAAAACTAGTTGATTCGCCGTTTTATATTTTATAGAAGAAAAAACACACACACACAACCAAAACACAACACAATTTTGTAATATAATTTACTTAAAAATGCCCTGCAAGCATTTGGAAGTGAGTTTCTAACTCCATCTAATTATCTACTTCGGCACTTATTTTTTGCAAAAAGGTGATACTTCGTAATTTTACAATAACAAACGAATTGTTATCCAATTTCAATCGTCTGTAGTAACTCTTAGCTAATGAAAGAAGATGAAAATTCGATAGCTTCGTCGTTGTATAAATATTTGTCATTGAATAAAAATTTTTGGATATTACTGAATTTTCATTATAAAAAATCTTCGGCCTGAAAATTTTTGATTGCTGTATCAAATAATAAAGAAAGATGCGGAAAAGTATTACTGACGGCGTTCCCTTAAATTCAATAATGGGCACAAATAATAAAGGTATATTTTATAATACAAACTGCAAACATATATATATATATGTATATATATATATATATATATATATATTATGCAGAAAATGTAATATACTTAGATAATACCAATGGTCAGCAAATGATTTATCATGAAATGTCAACCATTAAACAAGGTAATTTGAGTGTTGGGGGAAAAAGAAATGTCATCATTTGTTAAATTAGCAATTAAAGCTGTTATAAGTGATCAAAAAGCAATTGAAATAACATGGCGTGGAACTATACAAAAAACCCAGTTTTCAGCGATTTAACACATATACTGTAAGTAATAAGAGGCAAGAACATGTTCTTTAAAATCTTAAAATAGTCCGAATATAAATTAAAATTGAATTGAATGTTGACAAAATACTAATATTTGAGTTTTGTTTTTATGCCTTTTTAGGGCGAAGGATCATTCATGTAAATGTTGTTTATTAATTTCTGTTTCGAGATAAGCTACATGATCGGAGTTGCAATGAAAAGGAAAGCCAGAGAGATACTACATTCCCACCACTATGCGACGCGTTTCGCCGTTGGTTAAGCGGCTCATCAGGCATATTGGGCAATGTGGGTTACAAATGTCTTCACTTGATAAGTTGTATTTATGTCGACTATTGTTGCGAAATTGCATCTATGAATTAAATTCAACCGTGTCAAGGTTTGGACAGTTGGCATCACACCAGAACATTCCTTTTCAGAGCAGATTTTTCTTGTAGTGACGGACTTTTTTTCCATACAGACTACAATATTTGTCTTCAATGGTATGCAACTGAATATTGTGCAACATTAGGAAGATAATGAGGTGGCTTTGAACCCTGGTTCCCATGGCATCTGTTAGTGTCCGGCGCCTTAGCGTTCAAAACCACCTCCTTATCTTCCTAAGGTTGCACAATATGCATTTGCATACCATTGAAGACAAATATTGTAGTCTGTATGGAAAAAAAAAAATCCGTCACTACAAGAAAAATCTGCTCTGAAAAGGAATGTTCTGGTGTGATGTCAAATGTCCGAACCTTGACACGGTTGAATTTAGTTCATAGATGCAATTTCGCAACAATAGTCGACATAAATACAACTTATCAAGTAAAGACATTTGTCAGTCACATTGCCCAATATGCCTGATGAGCCGCTTAACCAACGGCGAAACGCGTCGCATAGTGGTGGGAATGTAGTATCTCTCTGGCTTTCCTTTTCATTGCAACTCCGATCATGTAGCTCATCTCGAAAGAGAAATTAATAAAAAAACTAATATTTTCGTTTTGACGTCTAACATAATTTTGTATGCATGTGTAGGTTTCAAAATATGATTTGACACCAAACTTAATACTCAGCTGTCCTTACTGCCGACGAACCTTTGTTTTCAGGTAGCTCGCTAAACGTTGCAGAAATAAGTTGCCAGTGTTTCAAGGCCGGTATTGCTGGAATACCAGCCAGCAGCTTACCATAATACGACATATGTTGCGAATAATGGCATCCATGAAATACACAAACTGACAGGCGATTGGTATTGGTTCAGGACGCACTATTTGCCCGTTGTGGTCTCTGTACATATAACGTTTAATCGGCTTAGATCTATTGTTCTTCCTATTCGCATTAAGGCCGGCATATTTAATGGAAATTTATTTTCAGCATTGATAGAAAACCTACAATATGTACAACTCTATAATTACTGTGGTCACTATGACGAACAGCGAATATTCCGCTATGTTTCACTTGGAAAAAGAAAAACCATCTATTATTTGAACGCTGGTGGAATTGGACAATCAGGTGACCCTTTATCAATTAATAATAAGGGCCATGTATCCCCAATATTACTACCCTCTCCATTATGAACAAAATGGAAGATTTTCTGTTGATTCAAAACTGACAGACACACACTGAATCCAGAAGCACAAATACTTCATTAGGACTTATGAATATTGATGTCGTCGTAAATCACATTTACGTCGAATCGACAAACACACAAACCAAGGGAATGGAATGGCTGTGACCTTTACCACCGGCCAGTCACACAATAAAGGAGAAGGCGACGTGAAGGCAGAAAACTTGTAATTGATAAAGTTTATTTCGTTTCTCGATGACAAATTATAATATCCGACTTATGTATTATCTCGCTGTTATTCAAGAAAGAGGTCATCGTGTGTGCTTTGCTTTCAAATTTAGGGAAATCGCCCAAAAAGATGTATCTTTGCTGAATACGAAGTTAGCCATTACGCTCGAGACTAATGTTTAACTTAAGAAATTAATTTTGCCTTTATAATGAAAATATTTTAAACAACAACTGTTTGGCGTTGTTCACTTGTGAACGCTTGTCACCCTTGACTTGACGATTGCATTTCTTGAGCTATAGTTATTTTTAATTAACAAAGTTGTGTTCGGATGGAAAGTGAACTGAAATCGTTTAGTTCGTCTGCCACACAGAATAACTACATACTCACGTACGTACAGATACCTCACTTTCTAATGTCTATGAGAACACGGCAACGTAACCAGGATCACCTGAACACATTCAATGGAAAATGCGAAGATTGTGGTAAACACATTGACACGCACGACACCCAGTCATATGAAAAACAATAGTGGGTAGGGAGCTGGATTTACATCAGCCTAAATTAGGCTGAACAGTGTTAAACCAACACATTTGTCACCTACAATATCGACAAATGGCAATTCTCGCAAACCACCGACAAGGTGACAGACACGTAGCGGTAATCTTTACGCCGCGTATTTTGGGTACGATTGTCGGGTAATGCGACTGCTTCTTACGGTATCCTATAAAGGTCTGTACCCACTTAAATAATGATGCTTTTGTAAATTTGTTGTTGTTCTATCTGATGCATATGTTTTTGGTTTACGATGTATGTATCTACGGGTATCCAATATTTATTTGTATTCCACCTTTCGAACGTCACCTTGATATACAGAATAAAGGTCCAAACGTACCAGAAAATGCTAATACTAATAGAAATCAATAAATGTTTGTTAGAAACAATACATACATATTTGAAATAAAAACTCAAAAGACAGGAATTATCATGGTATAATTATTACAAAGTAGAGCACAGTTACCAACTGATTACAATTTTTTCTCAAGGTGGTTTGTTCCATCCATGGTCCAAATATCAGGTCATCCAAAAGGCGAATTCATTCAAAAGTACAATTTGTAAAATTACAACTCTGGAGCGAAAATTCTATTTAGAAAATATTGCAAGGCCTATATAAGGTCGGCCAGTAAGCGAATTCGTAGAGAAAACTTAAGTTTAACGTCAATTTTTTTTTTGCCGAGGCGAAAACTAATTGTTTCGCCTTTAAATGAAAAACACAGCCAAAACACAACACAATCTATAATTTGTAGGATAATTTACTTGAAAATCTTCTTTAAACTTTTGAAATAGTCAAGATGTGCTTCGCAAAGACAATATGTATAGGTTTCAAAATATGATTTGACAAGAAACTTTATACTCACCTGTGTTTACTGGCCGACCTTATATAGGCCTTGAAATATTGTTTATTGTTTTCGGCATTTATGTGAATGTATACTAGGTTTTTTTTCAA